GGGGGGGTTAGTTTAGTTTCTTACTCAGGGGTTAAAACACTTGAATGAGACACTAAACTAACTCCCCTTTGGGACTTACCAAGGTTGGTTGCGTTTTACAAACTTGACCAATCCCCCCTAGGAGCTCCGAAAGGAGCGCCCTGCTCTAGTAAAATAAAAATAGGAAGTTGTTATTTCATGGTTCAGTGGTACTCCGCACAAAGGAATAGAGCAGAATCAGTCAGATAAAACGTATCATGAGCCAGATCCAGCCAGCGGTTGTGAGCAAACTAGTTGAAGCTTACACTCGCCGAAGGGGCAATATAGTTTTGGCTTCGGGAGAGGAGGACTTCGCCATGCTATTTTAATTGCATGTGATATGCTGTAACTTGTGATTTCGCATCATGGAAAACGAAGTATGATGAAAAATTCAGTTGTCAAACTTTTTAGGAAACTAAAGTAATTCGGGTTATACTTTCTTGAGTTTATCGATACCTTCCTTGGAATATGATCACGTACGTCACAATACATGTGTATGAACACACCTTTCTTATTCCCACCACGGCATACCGCTTATTGATCATGAAATAAGTACGTGTAGTGGTCTCTGTCGGAAAGCGCTTAAACTTTTTCGACTTGTGTGTTGTTGATTGTGGTTTATTTGAATATTATCGTTATTTTGTATGGATTTCGTCGTAGATTATGTTTGTGGCGTTTTATAAATCCGGAATTGACGGCTACCAGGTATATGCAATTATGATTTGTTACATTTATGGGCGTTTTAGCGAAATAAAATCTAAAGAAGCAACCTGTTGTTCGTTGGCTTGTGCATGAGTGTTTTCGTAGGTTATTAAAGTGTGTCCTGTCAGTCGTGACAGAAAAGATTTTTATCAATGTCAGTACTGACTATTGGAATGTTTCCGGGATAATTATATGTATCGTTATTTATTTATAAGACTAAAAGTAATTTTTAGCAAGAAATAAATGCTTTCGAGAAGTTGAATTAGGTTAGGTTCAGTTACATTGTTTCACCTGGTTTTATATCTAGTTTTCGTACTGTTTATAATGCGTTACATTATTTCCAGCTCATGGGACTACAAATAAAATACGGTACTTTTTTAAAAAAAGATTTTAACCTAAGTTTGTTCCATTGTTTTACTGTAGTTTCACAGTTTTGTTTACTTACCTGTTCAAAGTTGTACTTCGGTTGAGACATATTACAGTGCATCGTGGTCGAAAGTTGAATGTGGAGAATAGGTTTGTTTAAGAAGTCTGAAAGTAGGAAGGAAGATGTGTGAAGACTTCTAAAGAAGACAGGAAAATGGTGAGTTATTTTATTATTTACAGTATTTTGGAATTAGTTCTGTGTTAATGATTAAATTATAATAGAACAGGTTCATATCATGTATTTTAGTATACAAAATATATTAAAAGAGTCATGGTCAAGAAACATTTATTGGAATGCAGGAAGTAATTTGTTTTCATCACTGTTAACAATTATATTCATTGTCAGGCTTCAAAAATTATGCAGATGACACTGACTTACATCCTAATATGTTTTAAAATTATCGAAGATGGCTCTTTTCTGTGTTGTAGCACAATGTAGTATGGTAGAAATTTACCAGGATGATGGGCTCATCAAGATGGTCCCAGAAGATAGTTTACTAAAATGTAGAACACTGAAATTTAAAAATAAAGTATGAACTTCTAGTTTCCAATATTAGATATATTTTATTTCCTGTGGACGCTCTTGCTACAGGAAAATTACACTTATGAGCCACTGATGTAAGTGAAGGTATCATTATTTCCCATGTTCTCATGCAGTTAGTTAACAGTTGAGATCAATTTAAGTCAAGAGTTGTATTGGTACATTTGTGACGAAGCCCCAATAAGAACAAAGAAGTTGTAATTGTGGTCAAAAATAATATTTTCTTCTTCATTCCTCAGATTTCAGCAATTTGATTCAACAAAAACAGTTACCCATTTAAAACTCATTTAGTAACATTATATGCATAAGGAATTTGAACTTTTAAAGTAAATTTTATATTCCCTCCAAAGTGAAATATATTCATGCCAGTACCAAAACACAGCAGGTAGATATGCAGAAATTTGTGTCACATACTTTAATTTTTGGATAGTTTCAGATTGCCAAAGTACAAACGTCCAGTCTTGTTTGTTAGTCGATAGCACATATTAGAGTTAAATGTGTGCATTACTTGATGATTTTTAAGGTTCTCTATAGTGGGTATAGATATGGCCATCTTCTAGGATGTTGCGACATGTCATCTGGTAGATACTATCTGACGTTTCAGATGAGCTTGCTCCCGGGTGTTGGAGAGAGTAAACTATTTTGAAATGCCTTTAATTTTGTCATTTTCATACATTTTGTAGAAAATCCGTTTATCAGTGCACATATAATAAAAACACTTTCTGACAGGTGAATTACTGTAGCTAACCTGTATTTTCAGGACATCCCACCTTTTTTAATGCGATCCAGGATTTTTGGCATTTTTTTAAACACATGTTTTGACTGCAAGTAATATTCGAATGTGATTGATGTCGCTGATTGGCTGCTGTGTGAAGATTTCGCCACCTGTGCAACATATTTCTAACTATCTCAAGATTACGCTGTTTTCTGTGTCACTTTCACCATCTACCGAACAAGTTACGAACTATCTTCATATTCGATCCGCCAACTGCTGCGGTAGTTGTGCGTAACCATGTGTATGAATTAGCCATTTCACATTTTTATAAATTAGCGTATGGAAAGGATGGGGGAAAATGAGGAGTGTGTTTAAAATTGTGTTTGGAAAGCCTGAAAGGAATAGATCACTCGGAAGACCTCTGCGTAAGTGGGAGGATGTCATTAGAATGGAGTTGAAGGAAATGGTTTTGACGATGT